TAAAGGTGCTGGATTCCCACATGGCTGACCGTGGTTTGAGTCCTGGACCCAATGGCTTGCTTTCTCACTTTCCCTTTCTCTGTCTAGTCAAATTAACAACAACAACAAATGGAACTAAATAAATGATTCTTTTAAATAATAACAATAATAAATAAATAATTAAAAAGTATATTTAATTTTATTTTCTATCATTATCCAATTTGACCATAGAGACAAAGCAAGCCTCCAGGTCTGGGAATTGAACTATGGTGGGCCATGTGGAGCCCAGTACTTTAACCACTATGCCACTTACTGGTCCCAAAACAAATAATTTTTTCTTGGAGAGGTTTTTGCTGTAAGGTGCATGTGCTCGCCAGAAAGACAGAAAGAGACAGAGAAAGAAAATGAGAAATCACCCCCCCAAGAAGGATAGCCATGCAGCAATCCCTTCTCCTCCGTTCTCCTATCGGGATCTTGGGCACGCATGGACATGCACCCGGCATGAGTTTAAGCCGCCAGGTCCAGGACTTGAACCGCAGTTGACTACATGGAAGTCCAGCAACATAGACATTATGCCAACTACTGATCCCACAAGTAATTTTTTGAGAGAGAGATTTTTGCTATAGAACACAAGAGCTTGCCAGAGAGAGAGCAAGAAGTGACCTCCCTCCCAAGGAGAACAAATACACTGCAGTCTATTTGTTCTCGAGATTTTGGGCACTCACACACATGCACCTGTTTTTCAAGCCACCAGGTCCAAGGTTCAATCTGCAGTTGGCCATTTGCAAGTTCAGCACCTTAACTACCATGTCACCTGCTGGCCCAGCTTTGTAAATGTTTTTTACCCCTAAGGTGCTGAAGTTTTTTTTTTTTTCCTTTCAATTTTTTTTTATTTTAAATTTATTCATTTTCTACATTAATTCACTATACACCATCACACCCCACAAATGAATTTTCCACCCAAAATACACTGTGCATTGGCTCAATCAAGCATATCAACATACATGTTCTCAGCAAATAATTTCCCAATTCTTATGTCCTGCATACCTTGCCTTTTGTTTTGCCATCCTTGATTCCCCATCCCCCACCCTCTGCTATGTCCCATCCTCCTCCCCCACTGTCCCTGGCATCCAAGGTTGCCCTCCATGGCTCCCCCCCCATTCAATTGTTCTGCCAATGAACTTAATTAGTCTAAATATATCCAATAGCTAGCAAAGCTGACACATACCTATACATGAACCCAAGTCTGACTTTAGGCATAAACCCCAGTGAGTAGAATGAACATACTATAAAGTAGTACCCAGCTGTGCCCATACAGCTTGCTGCAGTCGTCAAATATGCTTTTTTTTTTTTTACAAAATGATACAAACAGTTTTTCCAGTTTTTTTTTTCTCCTGCAACTTTTTTTTTTTTTTTATATTACCTAACATTCATTCCCTGAGCATCATCACAACATACTAAATGTGGTTTCCCATCTAGGATAAACTGCATAGTGGCTTAATCAAGCATGTTATCATCAATAATATTCCATTTCTACTTTCATACATATGTATACATATATATATGTTTTTTATACTATGTTTGACCCTCTGCCCTTTCCCCCTCTCCCATTACACTATCTCTGCTATATACAGTTGTCTTCCAGAGGAGTTATTGAAAATGTGATACATGCAAGTAAAGGGAGAGGGGCCACAAGTTTAA